ATAGATATTCTAACTCTGGAAAGTTCTGGCCACCAGGATTTGTTTGCTGCTTAGGTATGTAATTTTGTTTCTAATTCGAAAATGTACGTTCATAGCACTGAATTGATCCAAAGGGATTGTGGGAATGCCAAGTAGTCATGGCTGCCATTTTGATTTTCACATTATTGTTCTATTTCAGTGTACTCCAGGCTCTGCGGTTTATCGCCAGATTGATGTAGATGGAAACCAGGAAGGATTTATTTTTTTCAACTATCAGAAGATTGGTATAATAAATATTTTTTAGTTTTGTGGCCAAGTAACATGACCTCTACAATTAGGTGAAACCAATGATTACTGCTTTTGGGGAAACCATATTTTTATTTTCTCAAAATGTATACGGGAGGACATTGTTTGTACTGCAACGAACAAGCGTAATGGATATACTCATTTACTAGCCCTGGTGGTTGGTGTACTCAGAATGAATTATTAAATTTGTAAATAAGTACAAGGAACTTGTCTCTTTAGTGTCACCTTCTTTCACACATTTATAATCATAATCTCCCATGCAGAATATACAAGGTCTGTTCACTGGTTGTGTTAGATTCGACAATAGAATACTTGTAGTTAAAATGACATGTATTTAGGAATGTGCTGTTTTATTGTTTACACACAAAACTGTTCTTTTCTTTACATTTGCAGAGACATTTAGAGGGTGATTTATTTGACAGTATAGGTATAAGTGGATTGTATGATGATGATCCCCATTTATTGAAAGAAAATCTTTCAAACTTTATTCATCGCTTAAAATAGATGTGTCATCACACCAGTGTTAGCCAGGCTTTGGTTCAGATAAAATGTTGAAGGCTAAAAAATTATCAAATAGAGTATGAAAGCTTTGGCAGTAAACAAGTCTACCAATCTTGATGAATAACAACATCCTCTGGTACTGAAATATCGCAACATTTGTAGCACTTAATTCTCAGTTTTTACGCTTTTTTGATGGTCTTCCAGATCTTGCCTTAGAATTGATGCTGGTTCTTTGGGTTTGTGAACTAGATGTGCCCGCCCTAGGCTCTTCATTGCCATTCATTTCTGTGAATCAAAGTGAAAACAAATCATTGTAAATAATATATAGTCGTGTTTGTATTATAGACACATATGCGAGGTATATGACTTGATGGGTGAAGTTCGAAATAGATTGGTCTAGGCATGTGTGAGATGTGGCTCTATGGAACTGCTTACAATAAGACAAGATAGTGGCCAGTCAGCCATTTTGGATTAGATGGTGACTTAAATGTATTTTTGTCAGATGTAAATCCGGAATGCATTTTTTTAAGTAGAAAGGCTGCCAGTCGGCCATTTTGAACAAATTCAAAAAATAAATTCATCAAGGTCCCATTCTGATTGTATGCACAAAGTTTGACCAGAGTCTGTCCAAGTACTTTAGCTCTACTTCTGGTATGGTGAATCTGAATTTTTTGAAACAAAATGGCCACCAGTCAGCCATTTTGAATTTGATCTGAAAAATAAAACAACATGCATCAAGGTCCTATTGTCATTAATGTATATACTATGTTTAAACCAAAACTGTCCACACAACTGAGATCTAGTTCTGAAATAGTGAAAATGTGTGATTTTGATGCAATTTTTGACTTTTCGGCAATCTTGAATCAGATCATGAAATAAATTCATGTGCATCTCTGATGTCTCCAGGCACGTCTGATTAATAGATCTGGAACTGCATTTTATAAAACAAAAAGGTTGTCAGGTAGCCATTTTAATCTGATACTGCTGGATATGGACAGACACAAGCACACAGGGAGTTCAATCCATAAATCCTGAAAAAAAGGGACTAAAAAGTATTTGAAACGGGGTTCCTCTCAAGGGATAGGGTTGTCAGAAAAACCTATCAATGTAGGGGTCAATTAATAGGAGCTGCATCACAGACATGTATAACTGACTTATGTAAACCATGTCCAACAGTGGATTTTAGAATCTGGGATTTGCAATCCTTAGTTTCATATAGCAAGAACCATTACTGTACTCTCCCAACTTAGTACCCACCCCCCAATTTATGGGAAATTCTGTTTTGCGTTCACATTCAACTTAGTGCCCACCCCTTCCAAAACACCCCAAATTAACCTGTCAAGTCACAAAAACTTTGGTTATAGTGCGACTATCATGAATGGGATGCGAATAGGTAAACTACAAATTAACATGTTGTCAATCGTGAAAGTTGTTAAAATTCAGAAATTGTAAATCAACATTTTTTTTAAAAAAAACATTGTTTTTTCGCTGAAATCCACATTGCGTTGTAAAAAAATGCAATTGTCGCAGCATTCTGATTGTTCTAATGAAGACTTGACCTGAAAGGACAGAGGACATTTTCGTCAAATCATGCAAAAAACATGACGGAAATTGCTTTGCATTGAGAATATATGCGTAAAATGGAGAATGATGACTATCTTCCCACAGACCCTGATAATTCTAGTAAATTCTTATGGTATGTAGATACCGGGTAATATTGTTATAGAAGGTGCATGTTTTCTGTGAACATTCCTGTTTCTTCATTGTAATCGTGTTATAGAATCAATGACGATGCAACTCATTTTGCAATTTTATTTTCTGCTTAAAGGATATTGTCATTTAGATAGTTTTTCGAGGTGAGTGTTCGACTAAACTCCCACACTCTAAAAAAACATGATTTTTTTTCGCTGAGTCTTTCAAGTATGGTATTACATTACCTTCAATGTGCATATCAATGATTTCATGTTCCCATCGACCTTTACACCCCGGACACATAGGAGCATCTCGTCCGTAAAAAAGGCGACTAGCACAATGAAGGTGCAGCTTCAAATCGCAGTGAGTACAGCACTGACCCTGCAAATGTATAATGAAAAAAAAAAAGTTGGCTTTAGTTTTGTAATAAGCAGAGGAAATCTCATGAACAGTCATCATCCTGGTGTAAAAAACCTACCTTTATAACAATACTTTTACATAAATTACAAAACGTCAAATCATCTGGATACGTCTCTCTTAAGATTGGTTCCAGTTCTAATATGGACCGTGCACTTAACGTTACTTCTCCTTGGTTCTGAAGGAAAACAGACAAAAATGATTGCAGTAAACCACCACGGGGAAAAAGTCTCACAAGGAAACGGCTCCTAGATCCAAATCACTTGTAGTACACATTAAAATCGCACATTGCATTTGAGGATGATGTGTTGAAAATCATTATTTTGATATAGTTTTAATTGTATTGATGAGACCCACAAATCAAAATGTAAATTAAAGTGAGAATACATCAAAATTAAGCTATTAACTTGACTCAGTTAACCACATTTTAACTCGCCTCTGTTAACCACCTGTTAACTTACCTTGATTAATCTTCTGTTAACTTACCTTGGTTAACCACCTGTCAACTTACCTCAGTTAACCACCTGTCAACTTACCTCAGTTAACCATATGTTAACTCACCCCTGTTTACCACTTATTGGCTGACCTCTGTTAACCACATGTTAATTTATCTTGGTTAACCACCTGTTAACTTACCTCTGTTATTCACAAGTTAACTTACCCCGGTTAACCACATGTTAACTTACACCTGTTAATTCACCCCTGTTAACCACTATTGGCTTACCTCTGTTAACCACATGTTAACTTACCTCTGTTACCCACAAGTTAGTATACCTGTTAACTCACCCCTGTTAACCACCTGTTAACTTACCTCTGTTAACCACCTTTTAACTTAGCCCTGTTAACTTAAACTTACCTCTGTTAACCACATGATACTGTAAAGGGGTTAATTATTCACTGGGTTTTAATTTAGCTTATTTAAAATTTAGCATAGAACACATTATCTAAATGACAAAACCGTGAATTTAAACCCCACTGAATATGCCTGAAATGGTAAATCCATGAAATTTAAACCCAGTAAAAATTAGTCATTTTACAGTAACTCACCTCTGTTAACCATTTGTCTTTTATCAATCTTTTCAGCAGATTCTGTGCTTCCACTTTGGACATCTTTTTAACATTTTTATCTAAGTGATCTGCCAGATTCAGTATGTCTGTTGACGATGCCATTCCTGATTCTGATTGAACAATCAGGGCGATCTGAAAAAAATACAATACTGCCTTAATTCTGTTTTCATTGGAGTTTAAATCAGTAAGTAAACAAGTCATTGAAAATGACAAAGTCCCCGTTGAATTTTGAAAGTTCTCTTTGTGCACCTCATATTAAAGCGGAGGGGTTGTCGCGAGCGTGTCCTTGAAACTTGAGTTCCATGTGGCGTATACAACAGATTGTATATTTACATCAAAACACGTGTTCCGTGTAGTAGTAATATGGCCAAAAATAAAAACAGCCGCTATTTGGCCACCTTTGATCTGATTATGAAACACACTAATATGTATGATGTATGTGCCAAATACGAATGAAAATGGTACATAAATTGTGGAAATATAGTAGTAAGGCCAAAAAGTCAGATGGCTGTCAATCGGCCATCCTTGACCAGATTTTGAAATAAATTGTCATGGACATGCATCCTAACATGTATAAAGTACATGTATGTGCCAAATTTGAATGAAAACTGACAGAGCATGTCCCAAGATACCGCATAAAAAAACAAAAAAAACAAGATGCCTTCCAGTCGACCATTTTTGATCCAATTGCGAAATAAATCGTCATGGACATGTATACTAACATGTATAATCTATGTACCAAGTTTGAATGACAACTGACAAAGCATGTCCAAAATACGACATTTTCAAAAAACAAGATGCATGTGCATATGTCCCACATAAAGTACTAGGCACATGCAAAGAATAAACGGAATCGGTCCACAGGATTCTGAAATATAACTGGACAGACTGACGGATGGACAGACTTAGAACTCACGGACGGTCGGGGACATGTATCCTAACATGTATGATCTATGTACTAAATTTGAATGAAACTGACAAAGCATGTCCAAAATACGACATTT